ATCCCAATTTTTCCATAACTGCTATATCATCAAAACAATGTCTCCCCTTCCAACTGCAAATTAGCATTTCTGATGACAAAGCACAGGGACAATATTCAATGCGGAGATGTTAACAAAAGTGCAAAATTAGCTCTGAAGATTTCTTCCATTATCTATACGCGCCCTTTCATTCTTCTTGAAAATGTTCTCCCTGTAAAACTGCAGTTCCTTGATACTCTCTCTGATATCATCCAGAGCTCTGAAAGGGAAAAAGAACAAATAAAACAAATCATTCAATATAGAAAAGTAGGCAAACTTTAAGAGGTGGATATCTACGGTGCTTTGAAAAAGTATTCATACTCCCTGAAATTTTCCACATTTTGTTATGTTACAGCCAACAACGTAAATGTATTTTATTGGGATTTTATGTGATTGACCAACACAAAGTGGCACATAATTGTGAAGTGGAAGGAAAATGATAAATGGTTTTCAAATTTTTTTTTACAAATATCTGAAAAGTGTGGCATGCATTTGTATTCGTTATTTAAAAAAATAAAAATTCAACCTTTACAATCACTATAAACTGGAAGAAAAAGACTAACTATATCTATTCTTAAAATTGTTCCATCCCCTCTCCTCCATCCCATCTCCTGCCTAACATCTATAAAAATAGATCTGTATACTTACCCAATTTTAATTTGTTCCGGTCACCTGACCCTGTAGTAGCTGTGTCCGGTTAGGTTCACACGTATGCGGGTTGGGAATGCACGCTAATCACGTCACCTGTGACCCAGATTTGGCTTTGGCCCACAGTCGGCCGAAGTCAGAGCCTCACCAGGCTCTGCAAGGATCCCAATAATAATATAGAGATCTGTCCAGATATCTGACCGGCAGCTGGCTCAGCCTCTCAGCATGCCAGTGAGAGCCTGAGCCAGCCGCTACCCCCCTCTCCATAGCCCATTACTCCAGTGAATACCGGAGGGGCAGAGCACAGAACGGTAACTGACAGTCACTGAACTGGGCTCAGAGCAGACCTGAGAACAGAGTGATTACCGTTCTCTGTTCGTTCAGTTCTCGGTGTAAAGTTGGCAAAGGATAGATGCTGCATCCACCCAGGTGATTATGAATGTTTTTGTTTTGTTTTTTCTTTTCCCGAATCCTTCATTTCTCTTTTAAAGGTTAGTTTTGATTAAAGAGTTTGCATTCACTTCAACTTTTATCATACCTGGAGTGTAATTGGTCAACCCCACAAGTCTGATGCAGGAGTCCATCATGAGAAGCAATTGGTACTGCAGGCCTGGCTGTGTGCTCTGAGTTCTGGCCCAGCTGGCTAGGTTGAGTTCTGGACAGCACAAGTATGTATGTTGGATAGTGTCTAGGGGTGAGTAGTATGTATTCAGTGTACAGCCGTGGCCAAAAAAGTGTTGAGAATGACACAAATATTACATTTCACAAAGTATGATGCTTCAATGTTTTTAGATCTTTTTGTCAGATCTTCCTATGGTATACTAAAGTATAATTACAAGCATTTCATAAGTGTAAAAGGCTTTTACTGACAATTACATTAAGTTTATGCAAAGAGTCAAGTGGTGACCCTTCTTTTTCAAGACCTCTGCAAATCACTCTCGCATGCAATCAAGCAATTTCTGGGCCACATCCTGTCTGATGGCAGCCCATTCTTGCATAATCAATGCTTGGAGTGTCAGAATTTGTGGGGGTTTTTTGTTCTCAATGGAATTAAGGTCTGGGCAGTTTTCTGGCCATGGATCCAAAAGTTCGATATTTTTCTCCCCAAGCCACTTGGTTATCACTTTTGCCTTATGAAAAGGTGCTCCATCATGTTGGAAAAGGCTTTGTTCATCACCAAACTGTTCTTGGATGGTTTGGAGAAGTTGCTCTCGGAGGATGTTTTTGTTCCATTCTTTATTCATGGCTGTGTTCTTAGGCACAATTGTGAGTAAGCCCACATCCGTTGGCTGAGCAGCAACCCCACACATGAATGATCTCAGGTGTGTGAAGATGCACTCACATCTGCCTGCTGCTATTCCTGAGCAAGCTCTGCACTGGTGGTGCCCTGATCCTACAGATGAATCAACTTTAGGAGACAGTCCTGGTGCTTGCTGGACTCTCTTGAGTGCCCTGAAGCCTTCATCACAACAATTGAACCTCTCTCCCTGAAGTTCTTAATGATCCAATAAATGGTTGATGTAGGTGCAATTTAGTAGCAGCAATATACTTGCCTATGAATCACTGTTTGTGCAAAGCAATGATGGTTGCACATGTTTCATTGCAGGCAACTATGATTAACAGAGGAAGAACAATGATCTCAAGCACCACCCTCCTTGCAAAGCTTCCAGTCTGTTAATCTAACTCATTCAGCATGACAGAGTGATCTCCAGCCTTGTCCTCGTCAACACTGACACCTGTGTTAACAAGAGAACCACTGACATGATGTCAGCTGACATTTTGTGGAAGGGCTGAAATGCAGAGGAAATGCTTTTTGTGGGATTAAGTTCATTTTCATGGCAAAGAGGGACTTGGCAATTAATTGCAATTAATCTAATCACGCTTCATAACATTCTGGAGTATATGCAAATTGCCATCATAAAAATTGAAACAGCAGATTTTATGAAAACTAGTATGTGTGTCTCTCAAAACATTTGGCCTAAGTAAAAAAAAAATTGAAAGAAATGCATTTTTTTTTTGCAAAAAAAAGGGCATTTTTAAAAACTTTTTTTTAAGTTTAAGCTACTTTCTTGTAGTGTTGATGCTGGTCTGTCCCTTCTGGCACTGAAAATCACAGATATGGCACAAAGACCAAAAAATATTGTGTGTGTTCAAGATGTTGAGGCAGCAGACTTTGTGAAAATTAATATGCGTCATTCTCAAAACTATTGGCCAGGGTTGTACAGAGGTCAAAAGGATGTAGAAAAATGTACAGGAAATCGTAGTATGTAGAGCAGTGTATACAACTCAGCAGTTTGCAGGGCAGATTATGGGGTCAATGGGGCAGTGTACAGGGGGTCATCAGGGAAGAGATTTGCCCTATATGTAGAGCAGGGCTCTTCTGGAGCGCTTACTCTGCCATCCCTCCTTGCTCTCTATCCCATATGTCGCATCAAGTACCTGAAATGGAAGGGTAAGGCTGGCGAGAACAATGCAGTATACTTAGGCATGTTTCCCTGCGCTGCTCTGCAGGTGGGGAGGAGCACTTCCAATGGAGGTTCGGCAAGGCAGGGACACAACACAACCATCACCTGCCTGCAATCAATAGGTTGCCAAGCCCCGATGTAAAGTATAACTAAACCTATAGAAAGTACTTCATACAAGTACAAATCAAGACTAAAAGCAGGATACACAATAAACTTTTTTTTTTTTTTTTTAAATTCAACAAAGCAATGAGGATGCAGGGCATTCCCCATCGCGCTATTGCATTCTGACAGTGGGAACTCCACCCCCCGTCAGAATACACAGATCAGCACTGCAGCTATTGGCAGCAAGTGCTGATCAAATTCTGGTTTTCCCGCAGGACCATTCGACAGAAGCAGCATGCTGAGAGGCTAAGCCAGCTACTGGTCGGGCATCTGGAAGGCTTCTGACATGTTCAGGATCCTCGCAGAGCCTGGAGCAGCTCAGTGATGTTGGCCGGCAGTGGACTTTAGCCCACTGTTGGCAGAATCTATCCCACAGGGGTGCAGAACTAAGTGCAGGTTTTAGGGTGGAACATGTTCCTACTCCTGGAGCCGCTACCCCCGATCCTCTGCCTCTAGTGACCACATCGGGGCATCTTCCTCCTCATGCTAGCTGTCACTATTTTTCAAAAATGCAGCTGTGCGTGGGCTCTTCCATTAACAGAAATCTGTGAATGAATGCAAACTACAAGTGCAGACATAGTTTACAGTTGTCAGCTTGTAGTTCTCAATGAACTACCATGGCATTGTTGAGCACTGTGGTAATTCATTGTCTCTTCCTGTTAGTGTGCATCTGCTTGCCCATATGAGGTATGAGCAGACAGATACACTAACAAGTCTGCAGGAGTCCTGCATGGCACCTGCGATCTGCTGATCAAGCGTGCAATCATTTCCAGGCTCCAAGTAAAAAATAAATTAAATAGTTATTTTTTTTTGCAAAAAAAATGCAATTATGTGCATTTCTTATTTTTTTTACATTTAAGCTACTTTGGCACTTTCTGGTAGTGTCCATGCTGGTCTGTCCCTTCTGGCACTGAAAATCACAGATATCGCACAAAGACCAAAAAATATTATGTGTGTTCAAGATGTTTTATATACAAGTTCAAACCTCTATTTTTATCAGTTGCGTGTATTTTTTACACTTCTGAAGACTGTATTTAGCGGTTTGGCATGATGTTCTGCAGTTCAGCTTATTAATTCCAGTATTTCCAAACCTTTTTCCAGGTCTGTTCTCTCATCTACATTTTATTTAACGTTGTTGATAAAATGTTCTTAGCACCAGCATATCATTATGTAGACCAATTTTGGTTAAGGTCTTCTGCAATTTAACTGTGCAACTCTTGTAAGGCAGTGTGCTACACAAATTTAATACATTAACATAAGACCCCTTTAGCAGTTCACTTCTGCTTTGTAGCGCATACAATCATATTCCCCAAACCTGCTGACCTCTGATCAATTTAAAAATGGGTCAGCTGGCTTGTGTTTATCGTGTTTTGGTTTAAGAAAAAAAATAAAAAACCCCGAGGTGATTAAATACCACCAAAAGAAAGCTGTGTCACAAATAAAATGATAAAAATTTCATATGGTTACAGTGCGACAGCGCTGAAAGCTGGAAATTGGCCTGGGCAGGAAGGGGGAATATAAGTGCCCAGTAGGCTAGTGGTTAAAGATTTGGCAGAATAGCTTTTATCCTATGTATTTATGTACGCAGGAGGTACACTGGGTAAAGGAGATTTGGCAACTGTTTATATGCATGGAAAGAATAACAAAGTAAATACATTAAAAAAATATTTTAAAACAAAAATATTTACAGTTTGTTTTTACTAACACCTACCTATGTGAAGATGCTTTCTTAAAGGCATCTTCATACTCCACAGGATACCAGCGTCTAAAAAAAGCAAAAATGAGTGAAAAAAAAATTTTGCATGGAAAAAGTCCAACTCCAGGTACTTTTTTTTTTTTTTTCTTTGAACACAGAAGGAAGAATTTGAACTTCTGCCAGGTTATTATTGCCAGCTGTGATAACACTGGGTGATTTCCCTCTTTAGTATTCTTAAGACACCAGGAGAAGAAATGAGGGGGTAAGGTGGGACAGGGAAGCAGAGACACAAATAAAACCACACGATATCTAAACTTTTTATTTTCTGGACTGTCAACACTAAACCTGATACATTCTTGCTTCCCACCTTTTTTTTTTTATTATTACCCACCTCCTATCTGCCCGTTGTATATAAAAACAGCCGGACAGTGGCTGTGCAGGAGTGGGTGGCCATTTATAAACGGCCTCTCCGCCCCCTGCTTGTGTGCGCTGCCCTGGGAGCAATTCTGACATCATTGCTTACTACGTGTGAAATCTGTGAATGATCAGAGAGGTCACATGGTACAAGGCTATTCACAACAAGCTTCTACCATGTGACAAGCTGTGACCAATCACAGCTTACACAGTATTTCTCAATGGCTGCAAGAATGCAGCCAGAGAGGAGAAATTATTGCTTTTACAGCCTTTATGGTTGTAAAAGCAATCAGTGTAAAAAAAAAAAAAACAAAAACCTTCATCACCCCCCACAAGTAGTACAGTGTCACCATGGTGACACTGTACTGCTAGGGTGACAGTATGTTAAAAAAAATACATACACACACACACACACACACACACACAAAAAACATAAAATGTAAAAAAAATTTAAAATTATAATTTTTGATTATAAAATAATGTTTTGTTTTTTTTTTTACTAAAAAGAGAACTGAATAAATTTTGGCCAAGATTTATGATGAAATATCATTTGCAAAATTTTATAAAAAAAACACTTTCAAAATTTTTGGACTTTTTCATTTATATAGCAAAAAAAAATAAAACCAGTGGTGAATGAATACCACCAAAATAAAGCTTTATCGGTCTAAAAAAAAATGCTAAAACATTCATATGGGTACAGTCTTGCATGACCGCGCAATTGTCATTCAAAGTGTGATAGAGCTGAAAGTTGGCCTGGACAGGAAGGGGGTATAAGTGTCCGGACTTGAAGTGGTTAAAGGCCCATTCATACTGTGCTTCAATAATGCATTCATTGAATTTCAATTCAGGAAAAAAAAAATAAAATTGCAGGTTTTTTTCCACTGTAGCACACTATTCTTTGTACCCCTTACCCTATGAAATATGCATTTGTAAACCTGTTACTTGCATGGCAATGAATTGGGATTGGGAATGAGATCTGAGACCTGGTATAATCCACCCAGTGAAAAGGAGAGGCTGTACGATGTTAGTTAACCTTTTCATTTTTTCTGTAAAGGTGAACTAACAATTTAAGCTTCTTCTGAGGCCACATCACAATGCAAAGAGGCAGCAGGTTGATAGGGAGGAAGGGTAAAGCAGTTTTTTCGAAAAAAAAAAAAAGGTATGTTATGCATTTAAGTGGAAGGGGCTCCTGGTGGCTTTAGAAATGGTGGAATTGCATTGGAATTCTATTGTACTTTGAACTCACAGAACTACCATAAAAACGAATCAAATTAGGGAATCCCGTAAATCTTACCTGCATAGTTCCTTTACAGTGCTCACATCGACGATCCTGTAATGCAAATGTCTCATAAACTGAGGCATATATTTGTTCAGAAACACTTTATCCACGTGCACAGAATTCCCTGAAGAAAGAATATTAAAAAAAAAAAAATATTTAAAAGAATTGGATAGCTGACGGGAGCGTTTTAGGTGGCACAATACTGTTTAGTCAAATATTAAGGTAATTTCCACAAAGCTTTACCACAAACTTAATTATCTTAAAGTTTAGCCATGTGACTGCAATTTTTAACTCCCATCAGACCAGTGCTTGACAAATTTGCTTAGAATCTAGAAGCCAGCTAAAGCAGTCAGGAGCCATTTTTTTTTAGCGTAGTGTGGGTTGTACCCCATACAAGCCCCCCTCCCCATATGTTTTCATACTCTGTACTCCATGTCATCCTCAGACTCTATACTCCTCATACATTCCCCCCCCCCAATTCCTCAGACACTGTACTCCCCATAACGCCCCATTTCCTCGTACGCTGTACTCTCCCCCCCCCCCCCCCCATATCCTCACATACACACATGGGGCTGCCCTTACACCAGGGTACCGTCTCACCACCACCACATTGCTCAGCCGATTTACAATTTAATGTGAGGCAGCTCAGCCATGAAAATCTCCCCTCCAGCAGAGCCCAGCTCTCCGCCTTGTCCTATAGTTCTGGCTACATCTGTTGCGATTCTCAGAAATGGTCTAGCACCACCAAGAAGCGGCTCTTCGTGTTGTCCCAGGCCAGTCCGATACCATACACAGTCCACCCGTACCTGCCCAGAGGATGAGCCACTCACATATCGCCATCCGCATTATTTTATTCAGCAGGAGAACCATTCACTAAGAAAGCCACTGGGAGGGAGAATCCTGCAACCCCATCTCCGTGTCTACTGCCAGTGACATCCTATTGGATATGGCCTGACTCACCCACAAATCTTTATACTACACTGGTGTCCACTTTGTTAACGGGCAAAAAAAATACCCAAAAGAAAACCCTGCTGCTGGTCCACAACTGGGCTAAATGTAAAAAAAAAAAAAAAAAAAAAAAAGATCTACTGCCCAGAACTGCAAGTCTTGGGCGTCGGGCGATACGATTTGATGTACTGCTCCAGTTCAAATGTTTTTGTCAAGTTTACTCTCAGGCATCAACAAACCCCACAAAACTGAATACCTACCAGCTAGAGGGCAGACACCAGGAGGTGTGTGCAGTCTGATAAATGAGAGAAACTCGTATTCTGCATGTGGTAAGGATATCTTACTATCCCGTACTGCTTGAGTAAGGCCAGACTGTAATGAAAATAAAGAATTATCAAGAACATGATCATCGATTTAAAAACTGCAACTCAATCAGGTTACACATTTTAAAGCACATTAAATCCCTACAGAGCAAAATGTTAGAAAGCATTGCTTTAAAACAATTACGTGTCCCCCAAATTCATTAAACCACTTTCCTAAGTATGAAATGGTTCATAAAGTGGAACTACATTGAATCTGGGCACCACAAACCAAAAATGCTATTTAAATTTGCAATATTCGGCTCCATCCACGTCTCTATGCTTTATCATGCTGGGAATTTTTTTTTTTTTTTTCTAAATCAGAAGTATTATTTATTAATGGGTAACAGAAGGTGGCCAGTGAGTGACTAGATATATAAATCGCACCACATCCCTATGAATTGAGAATATTGAATTAAATTTGGGATTTTAAAAAGGTGCAAAATTACAGTAACAGATTTAAAAAGGCAATAAGTTTTTAATCTTTAAACAAAGAAAAAAAAAATCAATAAATACAATACTGTAAAAATAAAGGATTGAAGCTTGGCTGTATTGTTGCAGTTATTCCCTACATGTTTCGCCCAACAAGGGCTTCCTCAGGGAGAGAAGCTTCAACCGCAATACAGTCAACAAAATTATAACACAAATCAACACAATAACATAATATTCAAAAAAATAATAAATAGAAGAACTCGCCAGCTCACCGTAGATGTCAAGCTCATGGAGCATATCAGAATGAACGATCATGAATCTGGTTGGCCTATGCGTCCGTGCAATTGTAGAGGACATAATAGGGATCATATATCCATCTAAACATACAGTGGGGATCGAAAGTTTGGGCACCCCAGCTAAAAATTTGTATTAATGTGCATAAAGAAGCCAAGGAAAGATGGAAAAATCTCCAAAAGGCATCAAATTACAGATTAGACATTCTTATAATATGTCAACAAAAGTTAGATTTTATTTCCATCATTTACACTTTCAAAATAACAGAAAACAAAAAAAATGGCGTCTGCAAAAGTTTGGGCACCCTGCAGAATTTATAGCATGCACTGCCCCTTTGCAAAGCTGAGACCTGCCAGTGTCATGGATTGTTCTCAATCATCGTCTGGGAAGACCAGGTGATGTCAATCTCAAAGGTTTTAAATGCCCAGACTCATCTGACCTTGCCCCAACAATCAGCACCATGGGTTCTTCTAAGCAGTTGTCTAGAAAACTGAAAATAGTTGACGCTCACAAAGCTGGAGAAGGCTATAAGAAGATATCAAAGCGTTTTAAGATGTCAATATCCTCTGTTCGGAATGTAATTAAGAAATGGCAGTCATCAGGAACAGTGGAAGTTAAAGCAAGATCTGGAAGACCAAGAAAAATATCAGACAGAACAGCTCGCAGGATTGTGAGAAAAACAATTCAAAACCCACGTTTGACTGCACGATCCCTCCAGAAAGATCTGGCAGACACTGGAGTTGTGGTACACTCTTCCACTATAAAGAGATACTTGTACAAATATGGTCTTCATGGAAGAGTCATCAGAAGAAAACCTCTTCTACGTCCTCACCACAAAAATCATCGTTTGAACTTTGCAAATGAACATATAGACAAGCCTGATGCATTTTGGAAACAAGTTCTGTGGACCGATGAGGGTAAAATTGAACTTTTTGGCCGGAATGAGCAAAGGTACGTTTGGAGAAGAAGGGGCACAGAATTTAATGAAAAGAACCTCTGTCCAACTGTTAAGCATGGGGTTGGATCAATCATGCTTTGGGGTTGTGTTGCAGCCAGTGGCACAGGGAACATCTCACGAGTAGAAGGAAAAATGGATTCAATAAAATTTCAGCAAATTTTGGATGGTAACTTGATGCCATCTGTGAAAAAGCTGAAGTTAAAGAGGATGGCTTCTACAAATGGATAATGATCCTAAACACACTCGAAATCCACGGGGGATTACATCAAGAGGCGTAAAATGAAGGTTTTGCCATGGCCTTCACAATCTCCTGACCTCAACATAATTGAAAATCTATGGATAGACCTTAAAAGAGCAGTGCGTGATAGACAGCCCAGAAATCTCAAAGAACTGGAAGAGTTTTGTAAGGAAGAATGGGCAAAGATACCTCAAACAAGAATTGAAAGACTCTTGGCTGGCTTAAAAAGCGTTTACAAGCTGTGATACTTGCCAAAGGGGGCAGTACAAGATATTAACTCTGCAGGGTGCCCAAACTTTTGCAGACGCCATTTTTTTGTTTTCTGTTATTTTGAAAGTGTAAATGATGGAAATAAAATCTAACTTTTGTTGACATATTATAAGAATGTCTAATCTGTAATTTGATGCCTTTTGGAGATTTTTCCATCTTTCCTTGGCTTCTTTATGCACATTAATACAAATTTTTAGCTGGGGCGCCCAAACTTTCGATCCCCACTGTAAATATGAATAGCGTAAATAAATTAATACGATTTTACCCATATGAGGCAAGATCAAAGGAAGGGAAGAAGAACACCAGACTGTATCAAAATGATTAAAATAATTAAGGACAAATTTACCCATAAATTGTTACAATTCAGGTAACAAGAGGAACAGGAAAAAGTTTTCTCAGTTTGTCTATTTGCAATTCAGCCACTAGGTGTCAGGAGAGGCCACAAGTTCATAGAGTATTAGCTGAAAAAAAAAAAAAAAAATCAAACAGTACTTGGAAAAATGCACTGTACAGAACCACCCAGGAGACTGAATGGTCACCATTTTCCTGGAGCCCTTCCCTTCCGACAGAGGTAATTTGAAAGACTTGAGTTAAGGGCTCCAGGAAAATGGTGACTGTTTAGTCACCTGGGTGGTTCTGTACAGTGCATTTTTCTAAGTACTGTTTGATTTTTTTCAGCTAATACTCGACAATCTGAGTTAAAACTTTTTTCCTGTTCCTCTTGTTACCTGAATTGTAAAAAATTTACAGGTAATTTGTCCTTAATTATTTTAATCATTGATACCGCCTGGTGTTCTTCCCTTCTTTTGATCTTCTTGCCTCATACGGGTAAAAATGTATTCATTTATTTACACTATTCATATTCATGTTTATATGGATATTTGTTCCCTATTATGTCCTCTACAATTGCACAGACTCATTGGCCAAGCAAATTCTTGATAGTTCATTCTGATATGCTCCAGTAGCTCCATGAGCTTGACATCTACGGTGAGCCGGCGAGTTCTTCTATTTATTATTTTTTGAATATTATGTTATTGTGTTGAAATTTTGTTTTGATGTATAGTTATTTCAATGTATTGTAGACTGTATTGCAGTTGAAGCTTCTCACCCGAGGAAGCCCTTGTTGGGGAAACATGTAGGGAATAACTGCAACAATACAGCCAAGCTTCAATCCTTGTTTTTACAGTATTGTATTTATTGATTTTTTTTTCTTTGTTTCTTTAAAAATTAAATAAAAACTTATTGATTTTTTTTAAAATCAGTTTGTTACTGTAATTTTTCACCTTTAAAATCCAATATTATTTAGTTCAATATTCTTTATTAATGTTTAAGGCATACAAAGAACAGTATATAGAACCATATACAAAACTTTAAGAAGGAACCATCCAGCAACAAAAAGAATAAAAGTAAGAAAAGAAAATCTCCAGTGTTAGCAGTCATCCAACGAGCAAATAAATACAACAAAATTGTAGTGATATTAAGCAGCAAAGTCATATACGGATCCCCCCCCCCCCCCCCACACACAGGGCAGTAGAAGTTCCTCTCTAACAGAGGACTAGCATAAAATAGAGCACATAGATCTCCCCATTTGATAATCCAAGGGAACCTGGGCAGGTTGTAAAAAAGCAGCAGGCAGAATACATCATGATAGGATAAATTACAGCAGCCTATGCATTATCAAATCAAACGGGGCTAGACCCGGAGTAGCCAACCATGCTTCCCAAATTTACCTGGGCACCCACGATGTTGGTAAATTAAGTGATCGTATCTTAAAATGGATCCCATATTCGGTCTCCAATCCTTCATAGTAGGGGGAGTTGCCGATTTCCAAAGCACAAGAATGGCCTTGGCGCCTTAAACGGGGCTTCTATTAGAAAATGTATCTTGGGTAACATTGTCTAAAATACCCAAAAGGCATTGTTTAGGGTCTAGAAGTATGTTAGTTTGAAACACTAAAGAGTATTGACCACATCCTCCCAATATTGGAGGCATTTAGGGCACCACCATAGCATGTGACTAAGATCCGCCATGGTCCTACTTACACCTGCCACAAAGAGGGTCCTGACGGAGCCCCATCATACACAGTTTAGCTGGTGCATAATAAGCCCTAAGTACAATATACAATTGTGATATATGGTGAGAAACTATCAGCGAACTAAGATGGATAGACTGCAATGCAGCTTCCCACTGGTCTTCCTCAAAAGTCCCCACGTCTTGCTCCCACTGCCCACTAGCCCTAAATAGTCTGTCAGAAGCATGGTATAGCAGCAAGAAATAAGCCAACAACATTGTAGATGATAAATTTATACCTGGACTGCAATGTATCAAAGGATAGGAGTTGACCACTGTCAATATATGCTTCATATGAGTTATCCCATAGGATTTCCACTTAGAGGCATATTGTAGCTTGGCTAGTTCTGGTTATGCCACATTATTCCATAGGGGACTATATGCGGTGTAACCTGCTGCAATTGCTTGACCTTGACCCAAATTTGATGAATTAGTCGATAGGTAGGGAATTACTTATTTGGTTTACAAAAAGACTGAGCCTCAAGGCCTTCTGGTAATGAGCTAGAAGCTCTACAGTGTAACATCACTAGTATCATAGAGTCATCAACCAGGGCAAAGATGGTGTTTCTTTTAGCCATACCTTTATACAAATGTTGTACCTGGCTAGCCAGATAATACAGCCAGGGATTGGGCAAAGCTATCCCTCCTCTATCCTTAGGACATAGCAGCTGTTCTATCCGTATCTGTGGTGGGCGGTTTCCCCAAAGCAAGGAGCGAAAAATAGGATTTATGATCGAGAAAGTTTTCAGCG